TGTCCCCCCGTCTACGCCTATGGGCGTCTAGGATGTTACGTGCGTCTCGATTGTGATCGAGACGCTCATGCACCGAGACCATGGCAAGCCCCCTACCATCGTGTGGTGCTTTGTGGACAGATACGTCCTGGCCATGTCGTCCTGAGGATGCGCGCTGACTGGCATCGAGCTCGTGTTGATGAGACAACAAGCTTTCTGCTTGCTGCACCGCCACACGCTCGAGCAGCGTGCGGATCTCGCGAGGGGCCCAACGGTCTTCGTGAGTCGCAGGCTCTAGGAGACCTCAGAGCAAGGCCACCGCGGCAGCTATGTTGTGGCTTGCCCAGGCGAAGTGGGGGAGGCCTCCATCGTCCTCAATGATGCTGCGGTTTATGTCGTGGGCGATGACGCGTGCACGACCACCATCTCCATGGTGTTCGATCTCGCGCTCGAGCTCCACACGCTCCTGCTCTAGATGGAGTCGTGCATCCTCGATCTCCTTGTGCCATGCCCTTAGCTGCTCCACCCGTAGGCGAGGCAGCCCCCCCGTATCTCCCTCGACCTCGTTGTTGGGGTCATTCATAGGAGTAGCCCCTCACTCGTGGACACTTTCGACACGTCCCTCGGGGGTGCCTACCATGAAGCATTCTCGAGAGGGGTGATGGCTTCCCCTGCTGGAGTCAGAGTCGGAGATCATCTCTGAATCTCCCATGAGAAGGTCATGAAAAGATTCCGTGACATAGTCCGTCATACCCATGAACTCGTCATCCATGGGGGACGGGTGCATGCGTTGTGCCGCGAGGTGACCAATGGTCCTTGCGGTGTTGCGCAAACCGAACGAGAACGCTGTTAGGGCGCTCCAGGTGAGGTATTCCGGGGAGAGCGGTTCCCCATCAGCAAGTTGTGTCATGACGTTGGCGAACGAGAAGGTGAGGCGACGTAGGTCCTCCCGGGACGGTCGGGGTCCTAGGAAGGCATTGAGCTGGCGCTCCAGACTCCAGTAGTCGAAGCCAAGGAGCTAGTCGCTCCCGGGGGCACGGGCTTCTGGGGTGTGCAGCTGCATCTCCTCGATGGCCTCGATGGTTGCGTCGAGGCCGGTGGAGCGAAGAAGTTGGACAGGGGCGGGAGCCCGCGCCAGCTCTCCTTTCACGGTGATGAAGAAATCCAGGCTCCCGAAGCGCATGTGCGCGCCCAGGACCCAACTGACGCCGTGGGTAGCCATCCATGGCCTGTTGTGGATGACGAGACGCTCAAAAGGCCTCTACCTAGCGCGCCAACTGTCGGTGTTTTGAACCACCGACTAGTAAATTTGTGTTTGCGCTTCTGGTCCAGATGGTGTGCTTGGAGGACATAATGGTTTATACTGGTTCGGGTAGAATGTCCCTACGTCCAGTTTGAGGCTGCTCGTGTTATCGGCACTTGCTTGTAGTAGGGATTACAAACGGGCAAGAGAGGAAGAAGATCCCAAATCTCTGATGGAAGGATCAAATGAAGTTGAGTCTAGTTGAACTCAGTTCCTTTCAACGTTGAGCCGTTCAGCGTTGAGTTGTTCAGTGTTGAGCCGTTTTCTTCGCAGGTGTCCTGTTTTCCCTTTTATAGTTGAAGGAGAAGGCGCAGGTTACACAAGAGAAAGAGATAGAGAAAAGTGAGGAGGAAGGTCTCTGGGGTCGCGGCGCCCTTCATATCCTTTTACTCGGGTCCCACCGGTCCTATAGATGATGACGGGGACGTCTCCATGTCGTGACCCTGTTCATCACTAGCGCTATACGTGGGCGTCGTCAGCCGGTCGTGACGCTCCATTCCGTTCCGGCGGGCGACATGGTTAGTAGATACCCCCGTCGAAAGTCGTACGGGGATTATGTGGCATAGCGCCGGTACGCCCGACACTGTTGGTGACGTGAGTCCTCAGGTATGGCCCGTCGTGGTAGCGGGTCTCGTCAAGACGCGTCTACTCTCCTTCTAGTGTCAGAAGTTTGACCCTTGGTTCGTATTCTTAGACCCGTAGTGGTTGGAGGCGATACGGACCCCGTCAGGCGAGGCGGAATCCTCCTTCGAGGGGTCCGGCAAGGTGAAGTCCACGCCCAAGGGGTTAGGCGAGACGGAGCCCGCGCCCTCAGGGTCGGGCGACACAGAGCCCTCGCGGGCGGGACGAAGCCCGTACCTTCAGGGTCGGGAGAAACCAAAATACGTTCTTGACCGTCCGGGCGAGTTAGCGTTCACGGCCATCAGCTTGTTTCTTCCAGGTATCCCTAATACTGATACCCGACACATAGCTTTGACATGCGTTTGCCTTGCCGTAAGACTGTCTCCAACAACCGCGACCCAAAATACAAGACTCATTCATCCTTTGGGTTGCACTACAGGCAAAGGGTTCAATACCTATTTTTTGTCTTCTCCAAAGCAAGACCCAAAAGACAACTCTTTCTGCAAATAAGTCTTCAGGAGAGAGGATACTCAGATTTTGGTTATGTCTCTCCTGACACCTAAAATAGATCTTTCGTATAAATATTCTGTCGAAAACTATATATATTATGTTAAACACCTACTCCCTTCGTCCCAGTTTATTTGCACGTTTGGGTTAAAAAAAATTCCCATATTAATCGGTCACTGAACCCGGTGGAGCATGCAGCAGTGGCAGGAACCATCAGAGCAGTGCAGCGCTAGACAGCCGCACAGCGCCAGTGTGTCAGACCAAAACAATAAAAAAGACTAAAAAACAAAAGGAAAAAAGAAAAAATCAACGGAGGCTCCATCGGCCCCCATCCAGAAGCTGCTGGGGCTTCGTGACCCATCTTGGCGTAATAAAATGGCTGCCGTACTGTTGAACTCCCTTGCCTCCGCACAGCTGTACACCACTGTAACCGGTCTATATTTATAGGGGTATTTTGGTAATTTTCCATCCGTTTTGGTTGCCGTGCCCAATCTTAGAAATGCAAATAATTTAGGATGGAGGGAGTATTTTAGATTTGAGTTCCAGAACAGGTCTCCTAACCTTAGGCTGTGTTTAGTTCGCGAATTTTGGTAATTTGGCTACTATAGCACTTTTGTTTTTATTTGGCAATTAGTGTTCAATCATGGACTAATTAGGCTCAAAACGTTCGTCTCGCAATTTCCCATCAAACTGTGCAATTAGTTTTTTTTCGTCTATATTTAATGCTCCATGCACATATCGTAAGATTCGATGTGATGACTACTATAGCACTTTTTAAAAATTTGGTTGAGAGCTAAACAAGGCCTTAGAGCTGTTAGAGACAGGCCAGGGCAAACACACGCGCCGGCGCCGGCGCCAGCGCCTCTCAGGGATGGATGACGAAACGGGGCGGCAGTTGGCACCAGTCAGCAGACAAGACAAAAGACGAAACGCGCAAGGTCCCATCATCAGTCCATGTCGGTCCGTAGCACTCGGCATGTCTCAGGCTGGCTTTGACAACACCGACCCGGTCAGGCGGCCACGACTCCCTGTCCCGTTAAATCACCGTCCTGCCGTGCGGCTTCTACCATCGTTACCCTTCCCAGGACGCCTCCTTGCCCCCCCGCTTCTGCTGCTGCTGCCACCACCGCCACGCCACGTCACCTGCCGCGGCGGACGTGCCAGCCCAGCAACAGTAAAACGCCCAGGCTCAGCTCTCACCCCCTCGGCCGGCCCCCGCCCCGCCCCGCCAGCTGCATTTATTTCGTCCGCCCCCGCTGCGACGCCCTGCCGGGCTGCCCTTTCGCCGGCCCACTCCGCTTCCGCCACCGCCTGGCGCCCGGCCGCGCCAAAGTCCGGGCCGCACCCGTGTGGCAGTGGCAGAGGCCAAGAGCTCATTTATGGTGGCTACCTCCGCTTCACGTCTCGGTCCCATCGGTGGGCCGGGCGGATCGGCCGGCGTTCCTCTCCTCCCCTTCTTCCTCCCCCAACTATGCCGCAGTGCAGAGTGCAGTCCCGCCCATCTCTGACCCTGTGCGTTGCGTTGCTGCTGTGCAGCTCCTGTACCAGCGCAGCTGCTGTGGCCTGTGCATCAATCTATCTCTACTCCTACCAAACAAATAGCCTAGGCCACCGCGAAACCATACTCGTACGTTACGAACCTAGCCGGCCGGTGATCCCTTTTTTCTGGTCGTTATGTTTTCCCGTCATCCGTAGCTGTACACCGACTTCTGCAGCTCGGAGCCTCGGACACTTGTCATTGCAAACAACATTCTGACCCGTTTTCTAAATTGGAATTTGGAATGCCTCCGGTGAATTTTCCACATTTCCTAACGGGAACCGGTCACTACTCACTAGTACTGCCTCCATCCGAAAAAGATGCAATTCAAATTTATAGATAAATATCAATATTTATAATATTGATAGATATATATATTCTCAAGACGAATGTAATAATTACTTATTAATATCGTAAATTTTATTTTTTAAATTTTAATTTAATCAAATTTAAAACTCAGATCTAGGAATATTGTAAAACTAATATCTTTTTTTAATTCTAATTTGATCAAATTTAAAATGATTTAACTCAGATCTATTGTACATTACTACTAGATCTAAGTTAAATCAATTGGAATTAACTCAGATCCAGTAGTATTGTTTTTTTCGAACGGAAGCAGCAGTACTAAAAATTTGACTGTGTGCTGATAATTTCCTAGGCAGGAAGGCAGTTGTACGGCGCGCAACAACAGACAACAGGTCGTCCCCTACCGCATTCAAGGCCCCTGGCCCCACCCGGCGTACTTGCGAGAAAGCACCTCGCCCCTAATAAATGCATGCATGGCCCGGCTGCCCCGTCGATCGCCTCATAATTGATGCCATGCCATGCCATGCCTCCCCTTCCCTTGCCCTCACTCTCGTCGTCGTTGCAGCAGCAGCCACAGGCCACCACAGCGCAGCAGGTGAAACTCCGTCGCATTTATGGCCACCGGGATCCTCCTCGGCCTATAAATCATCGCCTCGGCATTTATGAGCACGGCTCGTCCCCTCACTTTCTCGTTCCTGTCGCTGCCGACGCCGCCGAGCGGAGACGGAGAGCGACCGACCGACCACCATGGGGAGGACTCCGTGCTGCGACAGCAAGGGCATCAAGAAGGGGCCGTGGGCGCCCGAGGAGGACAAGCTGCTCGTCGACTACGTCCAGGCCAACGGACCCGGCAACTGGCGCATACTCCCCAAGCTCGCGGGTACGTGCTCTGTCTGCTCCTCGATCGAGCCCGCCCGGCCGCTTGGTGCATGCGTGATCTGGCCGTTTGCATTGGCTCGTCGTTTCTGGAGCGATTTGGGTGATCTGCCGCGCGCGCTTGCATTGCAGGGCTCAACCGGTGTGGCAAGAGCTGCCGGCTGCGGTGGACCAACTACCTGCGCCCGGACATCAAGCGCGGGCCCTTCACCCCCGAGGAGCACAATTCCATCCTCCAGCTCCACGCCATAGTCGGCAACAAGTGAGCCTCAAGTCTCAACTCATTCATAAGTAGGCTGTACGGTGTGCCTCTCTCTTTCTCCCTCCTCACACGCGTGCTCAGTACGTGCCGTCAAAGTAGGAGTACGCTCTTCAGCAATGCGTTCTGTATTTTGGATGCTCACTGTGACTCTGCAACTCATCACTCATGTGCATTCATGTAACGAACATGCATCTGGAGCACACGAAAGCCAGCCTCGCTCACGTGCTGGAACGTTGTGATCTCAGGTGGTCCATGATCGCGGCACAGCTGCCGGGCCGGACGGACAACGAGATCAAGAACTACTGGAACACGCACATGAAGAAGCAGCTCCGCCAGGATGCGCTCGCTGTCGCCGTCGCCGGCGAGGGCGCTGCTGCCGCCCAGCTCGCCAGGGCGGCGGCCGCGTCGTCCTGCCCCGCCGCTCGCCACATGGCCCAGTGGGAGACCGCCCGCCTCGGGGCCGAGGCGCGCCTCTCCCTGCTCTCGTCCTCGGGCACAACAACGATCACCTCCGCCACTGCCTCCTCGTCGTCGTCCACCGCCGTCGCCGCCGAGCACGCGGCGCCCGACATCTTCCTGCGCCTCTGGAACTCCGAGGTCGGGGATTCTTTCCGCGGCGCAGCCGCGCAGCAGCAGGGGCATGGTCCGGAGGCGAGTGCGGCGGCTGCTGGTGTGCCGGCGCAGGCGCTGCCTGCTGAGCTCGGCGGCGACGATTCCTCGGCCGCGTCGACCTACGGGACCGAGGCTGCGGCGGACGACGACTACCGGGCGTTCCTGGACCTGGCGATGGAGGACTTCGCGCTGCTGCAAGGCCGGCTCGGCGAGTTCTCGGTGTTCCCGCAGGCCGACGTTTTCGCCGACGCGCCCTGCTGCCTGTTCGCTCCGTTTGAGTAGCTTTGCTCGATCTCGTTATCAGTCACCAGAGTAGTAGACTAGAGGTACGTGACCGCGTTCTGCATGCGTTCGTCTGCGTACGCGTACGTACATACATGGTATACGTACACATGCCGCGACGACGATGGCGTATGTACGTGCCTGTACGCAACGACCGGATGGGTGCAGGAGTTGGCGTGTGACAGTACATTAGTCTGTGCCCTAGAGCAAGAGGTTTTTGCGACTGCTCTATAACTAGCCGTGGCATTGCTCTGGCGAATGTTGTCAACTTTCAGGTCTTTTGCCTTGCCTCTGCGTGTGTACATGGAACATGGTCGCGGTTTCGGTTTGTGTGTTTTGTGTACAAGCTCTGACTTTTACTGTGTGGATGCAGAATTCTCTGCATCAGTTTGGATGAAAAAAGAGTTGAGCGCTTTTTGCACGATCAAGGGCGTGGCCATGCGTGCACTTCACGCTGATGCACCGATATATGTCCGGTCCAATCAAAAATAAATTCATATTTGTTATATCACACTTGGGTCAAAGTTTGCCCTCCTACTGTCTGTTTCTGAGCAAGATATAAGGAAAAAAAAACTCCGAGTGTTTGGGAGCTGTTCTACATCTAAATTAGTGGTACCGCAAAATCTGAATTCTTAGTTATGCCACTTTGAATTCTTAGTCATACCAATTTAGGAAGAAATTACACTAAATAATCACTGCAACTCTAGTACAAGTTCTTCTTTCGTCTAGTCACCAACTCCCCCTGTTCTAAAAAGAATGCAATTATGGATTGTCGATGTGGGACCCACGGGATACCCCGTAAGGAACAGAGAAGATCTAGTCTAACTAGGATTCTTCCTATGTAATTTTAGTAGTGCTATTATTTTGTAATACTACTAGGAACTCTCACTGTAAACCGACTAAGATTCTGACCTCCTGACTATATAAAGGAGGACATGGTTCCTAGAGACATGACTTAGACTGAACTCCAGACAATCAATCCAACGCAAGGCTAACGCCGACTGGACATAGGGTTATTACTCGATCAATGATCGAGGGTCCGAACCAGGATAAATCGACTGTCTCTTGCATTCACCATCGAGTTCCGCATACGCTGAAGCCCGAATAAAATTGCCCCGGGGACCTCCGTGGCAGGCTATCGGTGGTGAAACATCGACAGCTGGCGCGCCAGATAGGGGCTTTCGGCGAATTTGCATCCAAGAGCTCGACGGACCTCGACAACATGAACTTCTCAACGGGATCAACCTTCATCTTCGGCTCATGGATCTGCGAGGCAGGCGACGATGGCAAGCTCCAAAGCCGTCTCCTAGAAGATTCAGATCACCATGAAGACTTTTCTATTTCGGCGACTACGACAGGTCAACTCACAGGAACATTCGCGCAGCTCGTGATAACTGAACCAACTCAGACTTCGCGGTTCTGGGCATCCGACTCGAATTCAGGCTCCGCATCCGAGACGGAGTATTACCCGAGTTCTTTCGAGAAACCGAGTTCTTTTCCGATGGGGCTCCAGAACGCGGCCTCGGCATATCAAGAAAACAACTCGGAGAACACTCAGAGTCTTTTCAAGAAGTCAGGTCTTTTTCGTTCGAACTCCACAACATGGCAAAGGCTTATCAGGCATGGCTCGAAGGATCCCTCGATCCGGTGCTTAGAATGCCACTAAAAGGAGCTTAGAAAGGTCTCGTACTAACTATAACATCTCAAGACTGCATCGTCCACTGGCCAGGTTCTGTTCCTGAAGACAGCAGTACCCGACAAGTCGATACGACAACAACAACAATTCTACCCTACCAAGAAGGAGACTCGATCTACGACCTTGAAACCTCTACTGAAGTTATCAGCTACTCCGATAGTACGGAAATCAACGCCGATAATAGAACAGTTCACGCACGGGAAGTACTCATGGTTCGCCGTCCTCGATCACCATTGGTCCCCCTAGAAGCACCCGACATCAGGTCCTCGGATGAATCTGAGTCCAACATATCACCCTTCGTCCAGGGCTACGATGGTGAGACCAAGAATCGAGGCAAGCCAGAGAAAGAAAAAACAAATTGAAGCAAGGACGCCAACGCCGTGCTAGGCAGCGTAAGAAAGCTTGGATCAGATATGAGTCAGATCTGGTTGAGTACAACAGAAGAAGATCAGAACAAGAAGTCGAAGAAAGACGAACAACAAATACACCTTACAATAGGATCTGAGAAGCACTAGAAGAACTCGGAGCGACCTCACATCCCAGTGAGCAACAGGAACAACTCAGAGACCTCCGGACAGCAGCCCTAAAAACGCATGATGGAAGAACCCGCTCAAGATTACCTGCTAGGTCAACATCTCATAGAAATGAAGATCAAAATTAAAGGAAGTCCGCATTCGAGAGACTTGGACCAAGTGGAAGTCACAACAAAAAAGTAGAAGGGACCACAGTCAAAACTACCGAGTCGAACAACCAAGACAGATCAGAAGTGAAGCACCCATTCAGACAGCCCCGTAGAACTACTCTCACCAAAACGACAGTTGGCTGGAAGGAGGTGCTGAATCAGAGTACAGAGAAGCCGGGACGCATGATAGATTCCCCTGTTTTGCAAGCAGACTTGCTTCAATACGACTACCTCACAAGTTCAAGCCGTCCAACCACTATAAATATGATGGCAAGACCGAACCAAGGTAATGGCTCAGAATCTACTCACAATCGATTGAACTGGCAGGAGGAGACGACAATATCAAGACCTTGTTCTTTCCCATGGCCCTAGAAACCATGTCCCTCCAATGGTTCGACAAATTGAATCCAGGGACAATCAGAAATTGGGAGGACTTGCAAAGAGTTTTCTGTCAAAATTTCGCGGGTATCATTATGCACCCCATCACCCACGCGGAATTAAAAGGACTCAAGCAGAAAGGGGGCGAAAGTCTTAGAGATTACTATCGACGATTCGGCGAACTACGCGCCCAAGTACATGATATCACCGAACGAGAAGTAATCGAAGCTTTCTCTCACGGAATCATGGCTAGGTGGCAATTTTAGGACTTCTGCAAAGAGAACCTGAGAAACAACGAAGAATTCAGACACACAGTAGAAAAGATGATTACTGCAGAGGAGAAGACACGAGAAAGGTTCCTGGAAAGAAGTAACCGAGACAACTCGGACAGACAAAATTATCGAAACAGCAGACATCAGGAAAGGAAACATGGATTAGACAACACCGTTATGGTGGCTGACAAGTCAAGGAAGTTTTCCAAACCCAGAAGATACGACGACATTGAAAACATGCAGTGCATCTTGCACCCTAAAGGAAATCACACCATCGGAAATTGTTTCACCTTCAATGATCGATACGTAAGAAAAGACAGCAAGGGAAACACAAAAGAAGACAATCAGAAAAAAGATGAAGGCAACCACGAAGACAAGGGATTCCAAAAATCCAGGGGGACAGTAGCAGTGATCTTCACCGGGGTTCCAGATTCCAGAAACAAACATCAAGAAAAGCTAGCTCTACGAACCATAATGGCAGCAGAACAGGCTACTCCAAGATATCTCAATTGGTCACAATATCCAATCCAGTTCTCAAGAGAAGACCAATGGACTAGCATAGGAAACGCAGGCCATTACCCACTGGTTCTAGATCCAACTATTGCCGATATGACTGTCACAAAAGTACTAATCTATGGGGGAGCCGAACTCAACATCATTTTTTCGGAAACTCTAAGGAAGATGGGACTACAACTCGCCGGGATGATTACACCAACGAGCACCCCTTTTTATGGCATAGTACCCGGCAAGGCAGCGATGCCACTTGGACAAATCACTCTACCGGTTACTTTTGGTACTCCCTCGAACTACTGTACATAGTTCATCAAGTTTGAAGTTGCAGACTTCAATTCATCATATCACGTAATCCTCGGGCGCCCAGCACTAGCAAAATTCATGGTGATACCGCATTATCCATACCTGTTGCTTAAGATGCCAGGGCCTAACGGCGTCCTTTCTCTTCGGAGTGATTTGAAGCGCGCTTTTGACTGCGACGTTCAGGCAATCCAAATTGCAGCAAAAGCACAAGCCACCGATGGTAGAAAAGAAATAGCCACTATCGCAACAGAAATGAGCCCAGAAGAGCTAGAGATACCGGCTAAAAAGCCAAGCATCCTTACACCACCAAAAGAAGCTGACCTCAAGCAAATCGACCTAGGCACTGGTGATCCCTCCAAAACAGAAACCATCAGTGCCCACCTTTCAACAAAATAGGAACTCGCGCTCACCAACTTTCTTCGGGACAATAAAGATATCTTCGCTTGGAAGCCAACCGACATGACAGGTGTCCCAAGAGAGTTGGCTGAGCACAGAATCGATATCAATGAAGGCTCCAAGCCTGTGAAGCAACGGCTATGACGATTCTCACCCGACAAAAAGGCAGCAATTAAAAAAGAAATCACAAAGCTATTGGCAGCCGGGTTCATCAGAGAGATCCTTCATCCAGATTGGCTAGCAAACCCAGTTCTAGTACAGAAAAAGAATACGAACAAGTGGCGCATGTGCATCGATTACACAGACCTCAACAAACACTGCCCGAAAGATCCATTCGGGCTGCCACGCATTGATCAGATAGTTGATTCAATAGCAGGATCTGCCCTATTATCCTTCCTTGATTGCTATTCAGGATATCACCAGATCGCATTAAAGGAACAAGACCAGACCAAGACATCTTTCATCACTCCATTCGGTGCCTACTGCTACAAGACCATGTCATTTGGACTCAAGAATGCCGGTGCCACTTACCAAAGAGATATCCAAATGTGCCTTGATGATCAGATCGGCCAAAATGTAGAGGCATACATGGATGACGTAGTAGTAAAAATGAAGAACCCAGACACACTAATTGAAGACTTAAAGCAAACCTTCGAAAATCTAAAAAGGTGGAGATGGAAATTGAACCCAAAGAAGTGTGTATTCGAAGTTTCTTCAGGACAACTACTCGGATTCTTGATCAGTCATCGTGGAATCGAAG